CACAGATCAGGACAAACTATTTGTCAAAAACATATGTATTGAAGAAAAGGTATCCAAAATAAATAAATAACTATAACTACTTAATAATAATAATAAGAAGAACAACTCCTTTTTAAAACTGGGCAAAAGATTTAAACAGACACTTCTTCAAAGAAGAGATAAGAATGGCAATAAGCATACAAAAAGATGCTCAATATCATAAGTCATCGAGTACTGTGCAAGCTAAGTCACTTCAGTCGTGTCCGACTCTTGGAGATCCCATGGACCATAGCCTGCCAGGCTTCTCTGTGTATGGGATTTCCCAGGCAAGAATACTGGAGTAGGTTGCCATGCCCTCCTAAATCATTAGAAAAATGCAAATTAAAACCACAATGAGACACCACTACACATGCACTAGAATGACCAACTTTTTAAAACTGACACACTACCACCTCACACCCACTAGGATGACTACTATCCAAAAAAAAAAAAAAAAAATTCAAACAAAACCAGCAAACAGTAACAACAATGTGGAGAAACTGGAACCTTTGTACACTGTTGGCAGGAATGCAAAATGGTATGGCCACTGTGGAAAACAGTATGGGGGTTCCTCAAACTCCCATAAAATGGAATTACCATATGATTCAGCAATCCCACTTCTGGGTATGTATCAGAAAGAATTCAAAGCAGGGTCTCACAGAGGTGTTTGCATACCCATGTTCATAGTAGCATTATTCAGAATAGCCAAGATGTGGAAGTAACCCAAGTGTCCATCAGTAGATGAATGGATAAACAAAATGTGGCATATATATACAATGAAGTATTATTCAGCCTTGAACAGGAAGGAAATCCTGTCACATGCTGCAATATGAATGAGCCTCAAGGGCATTATGCTAAATGAGCCAGTCACAAAAAGACAAGTATTATAAGACTTCGCTTATATAATGTACCTAGAGTGGTCAGAGTCATAGAGACAGAAGTAGAACAGTGGTTGTAGAGGCTGGAGAATGAGGGAATAGAGTTGCTGTTTAATGGGTATGGAGTTTCAGTTTTATAAGATGAAAATGTGCAGGAGATTGGCTGCACAACAACGTGTATATGTTCAACACAACTCAACTGAACACTTAAAAATGGTGACGATGATAAACTTTATGTTGTGCTTTCTTAATCATAATTAAAAACAAATAAACTGAAATACCAAGGGCTGGAGAGAATGCAGAGTCTCTGGAACTTTGCTGGCAGGAATGTGAAATGGTATAGCCACTTTGTACAGTAGTTTGGCAGTCTTTCACAAAGGTAAATATACACTTACGTTTGATCCAAAAGTTCCGCTACTAGGTGTTTATACAAAAACTGAATGTGAGTATCTTCACTCACAACTGCCCCAAGGTGGAAACCATCCAAGTGCTCACCAAGTGATGAATGGATAAACAAATTATAGTCCCTCCCTCCAGTGGAATACTACTCAGCAACAGAAAGAACCAACTACTGATACCTGGGCTTCCCTGCTGGCTCGGTGGTAAAGAATCCACCTGCCAATGCAGGGTACTTGGGTTCGATCCCTGAGTTGGGACCATTCCCTGGAGAAGGAAATGGCAATCCACCCCAGTATTCTTACCTGGGAAATCCCATGGACAGAAGAGCCTGGTGGGCTACAGCCCGTGGAGTCACAAAAGACACATGGACACAACTCAGTGACTAAACAACAACTGATAACTGCAATGTAGTGGGTTGAATCATGTTCCTCCAAGAAGATTTGTTCAAGTCAGAACCCCAAGTACGTATGAATGTGACTTTATTTGGGAAGAGAACCTTTGCAGATGTAAACATGTTAGGATGAGGTTATACTGGATTAGGGTGGTGTCTTTATAAGAGAAGGAAGAGGGTATTCGAACACAGGCAAACAGGAAAGCTCACATGGAATGGAGGCCAAGAGTGGAGTGACGGCACTCAAGCCAAGGGATACCAAGGACTGGCGGCAGCCAAGAGAAGCTAGGAAGAGACGAGGAGATAGATTCTTCCCTGGAGTCCCCAAAGAGTATGGCCTTATGGACTTGATTTCAGACTTTCAGCCTCAGAACTGTGACAGAATCAGTTTCTGTTGTTTAAAACGTAAGCCACCCAGTTGGTGGTATTTTGTTATGGCAGCTCTAAGAAACACATACATGCTACAATAGGGGTGAGTGAGTCTCAAACGCAATTTCTATCTGAACAAATTCTACTTCTGATTCCATTTGGAGGACACTCTGGAAGAGGCAAAACTGCAGATCAGTGGTTCCAGAGGCAGGAGGTGGGGATGGAAATAGATTACAAAGGGATGTTAAGGGAACTTTTGTAGGATGATGAAACTGTTCTTAACCTGGACTGTGGTGGTAATTATACAACGTAAAACTGTGAATCATAGAGAGGTCAGGGCTTCCCTGGTGACTCAGTGGTAAAGAATCCGCCTGCCAACGCGGGAGACATGGGTTCAATCCCTGATCTGAGAAGATCCCATGTGCCTCAGAGCAACTAAGCCCATGTGCCACAACTACTGAGCCCGTGCTCTAGAGCCAGAGAGCTGGAGAGTTGAAACTACTGAGCCTACACATAGCATAAGCCCATGAGCTCTAGACACCATACGCCACAAGAGAAGCCACTGCAATGAGAAGCCCACGCACTGCAACTAGAGATTAGGACCCCCCTTGCTACTTGTACTGTATATAAATTAAACTCTGAAACTGTCTGCTTAAAAAAATAATTTATGCTTCTGGGATTCCCTTTTTTTCTCAGTTTGACAAGACTCTTGGGAAGAGGTTCCTATCAGCTTAATCAGGGAAAATGTGAGGACCAAAATACCAATAATAGTTAGAGATTACAACCCATCAGATAATATAAGAAATCACTAAACCATATAAATATGTAGAAATAAATAAATGTACAAATTGAAAGTTTGATGAGAATCCAGATAAATTACCTCCTCACAAAATACATATTAATTACAAAGAAGAGTAACTTTAGAATGGAGAAGACTGACAACACCACCTGAATTAAGTGATAAAAGTGAACATCACGCAAATGAAAAAATCACCCACTTCACTGGATACAAAATTAAAATCAATTTTGGCTATTCCTGCCAAAGATGCATAATCTAAATATAATCTTCAAGAAATATCAGACAAACCCCAATCGAGGAATATTCTGCAAAAGAACTGACTTGTGACCTCCAGAAGTGGCAAGGTTACACAAGTTGAAAATGATTTAACGTCAAAAATAAAAGACGGAAAAATTGTCCAGAAGGGGACTAAAGACAACATATGTGCTCTGAACTCGATCCTTTTGCTGTCATGACAGTAACAGGGCAACTAGGGGAAACCTGAATGGGGTCTCAGGATCAAATAATAATGTGTCCTCAGGCATACCACCCTGAATGTGCCCAAGCTTGTCAAATGGTAGTAACACATCACTGTTAATTTCCTGATTTCATGGCTCTATTCAGCTCATGTAGAACAATAGCCTTGCTGGTGGGAAATATACATGGTCAAGTATTTGGGGCTGACAACTCATGAGATCAGCAACTTATTCTCAAGGGGGACAATATAGCTACTTTTACTGCACTTCCAACTTTTCTGTAAGTTTGCAATTGCTTCAAAGTTTAGAAATTACTCAGAGAAGGAATCCTGGGGAGCCCAAGGCCTGTCACTTTATTCCATCCAATATACCAGGGGAGGGACACCTCAGTTTGTTCTGTATCCTTCCAAGGCTGATAGGAAAGTACCACAAAATTGGGATCTCAAACCCAGTACCCCTTGGCGATGTCTTATTCTCTGAAGCACGAACTCCAGCATAAAGTAGAGATCTACTTTATTTGGATACCAAATGACCCAATAGGCCAAGATGTAAGATAGTTTGACTGCTAAAAGTGGATTTCTTACGCAGGCAGTATTATGGTGAGATTCCAAAGTCATTATACTAAAGACAAGATTCCAGTGTACTAATGCACAAACCGGTTCACAGAGTACTTTTTCTACCCACCTTACACTTAAGAGTTTCTATCAGCACTCTCAAATGGAAGTCTCCATTTAAATAATATTACTTCTGCTTTATGGGACATCATCAAACAAGTGGACCAGATTTCACCACAGAGAAACAAGACGGTACTTTTAAAATGGAGAGGCATCCAAATGAATACAGTTATACTTCATTTTAAAGTTTATATTTCAGATTTAACACTTAATCTTAAATTGTGTTAACGAAAATGTCAGGCTCCTAATTTTTCAGAGACTAGAATACCTAAATCTAATTCAGATTTCAACAACAATATCATATACCATTGTCTAAATCACTGATTCCACATTGTTTTGAATAAGGCTTTTTTCAATAACATGAATGATTAAAGCACTCTATGACACTACTCCTCTAAACAAAATATTGACCACTTATCTGTGCCATAGATTTGTCCTGTCCAATACAGTGGAAGCCAGTTACATGAAGGTGGTAACACATAACTGGTACAAACTAAGATGTGCTTTAAGTGCAAAATACACATTTTAAAGACTTCATTTAAAAAAGAAGAAGATGATGAAATATCTCATTAATTTTTTAATATTGATTATATGTTGAAATAATATTATTCTGGATAGACTGGATCAAATAATTATTGAAATTATTTAAGCAATACTAAAATTAATTACACTGATTTCTTTCTCTTTAAAATGATTTAAATGAAGGAATGTTTAAATGACGTATGTAGCTCACAGTGTATTTCCACTGGACAGTGCTACATTAGACCATTTGTGAAATGAATAACAATGGATTTCCCAGAACACTACTGAACTTTATCCTTTGATATCTTATCTTTTCAAGGAAAATTTTTACCTCTTTTACACTCCACTCAGTTCAAAGAAAGTATAGTAAGTATTGGGAATTCCCTGGTGGCCCAGTAGTTAGGACTCTGCTTTCACTGCTGAGGGCCTGGGTTCAATCCCTGGGCAGGGAGCTGAGATCTCACGAGGAGTGAAGAAAGGAAGCCTCTCGGGTACCTGGAACTCTGGGGCACTGCTCCGCAGCTGGCTCACGTTGGGCAAGGATCCTCCGTGGTACTGTGTAAGGCGGAGCTGCTGAAGCTTCTGAAACTGAACCTGGGGACAGAGAGATTTCAAAGCTGTTGAGACATGACAGCAAAGACCTGAAAGAAGCATCCAAGTACAGTGTTATGCAGCAACATGGTTCAAGAGTGAAAGTCTTGGTTTCCATTTCTTCTCTACTTAAAACCTTCCAGTTTCCAGGGTTTTCTGGGTTTTGATTCGTCTATTTTGGGGAAAGAATTTATCCATGTTCTAAATGTCTCGGGCATGACTCAAGGACCATCTTGCACACTCTTTGAGTGCATGTGGTGGCGGGGGGAGGGGGGCACGTGCAGGCACAATCTTTAACAGCAATAAAAGAAATTTCTTTAAAAAAAAAAGAAAGTAAGCCACTGCCCATGATTGTAACACACTATCTTCCCTTCTCCATGCTCTTTTCCAGTCTCCATTTACTTTTAGGTGTAATAACTGCACTGAGGCTTCCCTGGTGCTCCAGTGGTTAAGGATCCTCCTTCCAGTGCAGGGGACGCAGGCTCCATCCCTGGTTGGGAAGCTAAGATCCCACATACTGCAGGGCAACTGAGCCCACACTATAACTAGAAAAAGCCTGCATGCCCCAACAAAGACCCAGCACAGCCAAAATTAGAAAAAAAAACAACAACAACTGCACAGTGGTGATCACAACATAGGCACAAGTCTGCATCCTTACATCACAACTCTTTTTCTATGATATTATATAAGCATTTTAAATGGCTATACAACATTTCTTCTTCAGCATTACTAACTTAGGATACATTTCAAAGAGATTACTAAGTCTTGGGTTTGGGCTTTTAGATGGCTCTCAATACACACTGCCAGAATGTTTCCCCAGAGGGTACACCAACGTATATGTGAGAAAACTGTTAGGCCAAAAACTCACTAACACAGGATATTATCCTTAATTAGAGGAAAGAAGGAGGCCAATTCAACAGGTATAACATGGTGTCCCACTGTTTTAATATGCTTTTCTTCTGTAAGTTCTTTCTTGCTTCATTTTTCAAAAGGCAGTAAACTGGTTACGGTCCTTGTAAATCCCAGAGTGGTCCAATTTGATCTTTGAGAGTTCTGTTTCTAAAACAATAAATTACCTCTGTGGTTATATAACCCTTGGCACTTGTAATTCATGTAGGGAAGAAGGGAGTAGCTGGGAACCCTGAGGCAGAGTTTTTACCCTTTCGTTACTCTCTCTGGCTTTGCCTAATAATCATAAAAACTACCAGATATGAGCCCCTAAGATGAGCCAGATGCTGTCCTCAGAAACTTTGCCCACTTTATCCCTCACCCTCTCAACAACCACCAAGGGAGACCACGTGATCCTGCTTTTACAGCCCTGGAAACCCAGACTTAGGGACAGTCAGAGACCTGCCCAAGGTCACACAGTTGGAGGAGCCTGAGCTATGGCAAACTCAAAGCCCACGTTCTTATTTCTGCCATGTTACTCTCCTTTGATCCATTTCTTCCTCAATGATCACACTATTCACAAGCTCAGGGAAAAGTGACCAAAAGCTTGGCTGAGCCTATGGCATGCTCTGGTTTTTTGTTTTTACATTTATTATGAAAACTTTCAAATACATACAAAACAGAGATGAGTATAATGAAACCTCATCTCTTCAAGTTCCAAAAACAATCAACTTACACCCAACCTTGATTTATCTTTATCTCCTTCATCACCCATTACACTCCACTGAAAGCCAAACAGCCTAGCATTCCATATTTCAATAGGTATCTCCAAAGATAAGGGCTTGTATCTGTCTGGAGGTTATAAAGGCATATCATATAAAACCCTTTGGCAGCCTTAGCTTCCTTATACCAACAGTACTTGATTTCTCAAAAACATGGCATGGGGAAATGGTAATAATCTATTAATTAAAACCTAGATCTGAAAGTCAAATACAAGAGGGATGCCATGGTGAGCTTTTCCCATCTATCAGCTAAGTTATCAGTATAAAGTCTCAGTTTTTTATTTTAACATTTTCAACCGGAAACATTCGATTCTCTGTCCTTGAGATTATCTCTAGACAAAATTCTCAGCTTGAGCTAAAGCTCTTGATTCCTTCTTCCATCAACCCATCCACTTACTAACTTACATCAAAATGGTAAACTGTGTGTTGGGTACAGTGCCAGGCACCAGCTTACTAAGATGAACATGTGCCAAAGTCTCTACCTTCAGGGAGTCCTCACAAAGGCTTCAACTCTTACCCAAAAGCCTTGACATTTCAAACAAGCTGAGTCCTGGATCTAGCTAGAGATCTGCCTTCAGCTGAATTGGAGGCCATTCCCACATCTCCCGTATCTGCTGGCTCTTCCAAAATGTCCATTTCTAGAGTTTGCAAAGACGGCTGCACCACAGTAAAAAAGAGCGCTGGATTTGGAATGGGAAGGACTGACTTCGTAACCTGGTATTCCCATGTGGTTGCACAATCACTTTGCTGCCTACTTCACAAAGATGATGGAAGGATTAAGTCAGAGAACAGATGTGACAGTGTGTAAAGTGTAAAAGTCTGGACAACTGCTCAAAACATCATTAGTGTTGATATCTTTAGCGACCTCCTAAACTACTAAGTAATTCTGATGCCCTCCTCTTTTGAAATTGAGAACCAGCGAGCTAGAAAGAACTTTAGAGATGGTCTCCAATACCATCATGCTTATTGATAAGGAAAATGAGGATCAAAGAATGAGTAGCCTGAGAGAGAGGTCATGGACCATCAGGCTATAGGCCATGGTTAGCTTAGAGAGTTCTGTTTGACCCACGTGGTACTGACCCACTCGATGTTTTAAATTTTAAAACACTGCAAGAAGGCATGAAAATCTGGATTTCCATCTTCTCTTGATTGAAAGATCTGACAGACACTGAACCCATATTCTTGCATGGCAACAAGGTATGGAGCTGAGAGATATGGCATGGAGTTTAGACAGGGCTTGGGTTCTCCAGTTTCCCCAAGTCCTCACTGTGCCCTGTTATCCTCCACTATGGCCTGAGATCAGTGACTATTTATCACCTCATTCCTGATCCCTCCATTCATTTTTTACCTCACCTGGTACCTTGAGTTAGCAACTTTTAGCCTAAATGCATACACTTTTTTCAATTTTTTAAAAAGTTTAAAAAATTTTTATTTTATATTGGACTATAGTTGATTTACAATGTTGTGCTTGATTCAGATGCACAGCAAAGTGATTGATTTATAAATATATATATAATCTTTTTCAAATTCTCTTCCCATTTAGGATATTACAGAATATTGAACAGAGTTCCCTGTGCTGTACAGTAGAGGTTGGTTATCTTTTTTTTTCTTTTTTCAGTTACATACTTTAGTGGAATTTCCTCCAATGTCTAAAAAGAAATGAGATCGAAGTCTCAATGATTCCTTTTTGAAAAAGGCTTGTCAAAAGTCAACACAATCCCCCCAAAAAATCCCAGCAGGCCTCTCCACAGAAACTGACAAGACAATTCTAAAATTTATGGATGAGTGAATGACCTAGAGTAGCCAAAGCAATTTTTAAGAACAGTAAAGATAGAAGACTTAAGTTACCTCATTTTGAGACTGATTATAAAGCTATCATAATCCAGACAGTGTGCTACTGTTCAAAAGAAAGATGTACAGATCAACAAAAACAGGAGAGAGTCCAAAAACAGACCACACATATATGGCCAATTGACTTTTGACCAAAGTGTCACAGCAGTTCAGTGGAGAACTGTTTTCAGCAAATGCCACTGGTACAACTGGATATCTTAGTGGGGGAGAAAAGCAGTTGAGCATATAGACATTCAGTGTGACAACCAGAATCAAACCCTAGAACTGCCTCTTACTGGCCATGCAAACTTCCGAAAAATGAAGAACACTGTAGACCCACAGTACATAGGGTTACTGTGAGAACTACATGAGACAATGAACGGAAAGTGATCAGCGCAATACCTGGCAAAGCAATAACACTCCACAGTCAAACAACATCTAATTTTTATCCTCTCCTCTCTAATTTTTATCCTGTTCCTCTCTCAGAGGCCTCACTGTGTCATATCTATTGCCTGTTTTAATACAAAAGTGATGTGTATGCATGCCCAGTCATGCCTGACTTTCTGCAACCCCAAGGACGGCAGCCCACCAGGCTCCTCTGACCATGGAATTTTCCAGGCAAGAATACTAAAGCGGGTTGCCACTTCCTACTCCAGGGGATCTTCCAGACCCAGGGACTAAGCCCACATCACTTGCATTTCCTGCACTGGCAAGCAGACTCTTTACCATGCACCACTTGGCAAGTCCATGAAAGTGATAGTTCCTCCCAAATATTCAAGCAAAATTAACGTTCCAGGTTGATGTGGCATTTATCCTGTGGCTTCTCAATACTACCAGCTGTCCTTCAAAGCCGGACTTCTTAAACAGGTTCCCAATCCTTTCTCTGCTTCCTTCATTCAAGCCCTCAATGCCTCGCAAGCTCCCTTCTACCCAGCATGCTGTGGATGTGGTGGCTCTCACCAAGGTCACCAAGAACCTTCACATGACTAGACCAGAGGCTGGGTCTTTACCACATCAGACTAGCCAGCAGCACCGGGCTCGGCTGGTCCGCCCTCCCGTCTCTGAACCATGATCCTCCTGGTTTTTCCTACCTCTGTCTACTCGTCAGTCATCTTTGCTGGCTCATCCTCCCCTGCTGTCGTTCAGTCGTGTCCAACTTTGTGACCCCATGGACTGCAGCACGTCAGGCTTTCCTGTCTTTCACCATCTCCCAGAGTTTACTCACACTCCTGTCCATTGAGTCAATGCTGCCATCCAACCATCTCATCCTCTGTCGCCCCTTCTCCTCCCTTCCTCCTTTACCTCTCCTTTTAATTGTGCAGCTCCTTGGACATCTCCTAGGCCCTTCGCATGTTTCACTCTGCAGCAGAGGTTACAAACCCAAGAGCGTAGGGGTGCCAAGTATGGAAGGTGAATAAGCAGCAGGCTAGAATCACTGTGAGGAAACCACAGGGAGTGAGGAGGTCTGTGGCAGAATGAAGGACATGTCTGTGCCTTGTCTAAGGTGGGCAGCTGCCATTCAGCAGTCATGCAGAAATGGAGGGTGAGTGCTGTTAGATAATCTCATTTTTCAAAAGAAGCCAGAGTCCAGATTTTAATGTAAAAATCTCAATATTCACTGTTGGCCCTAATTAAAAAAAAAAAAAATTGGGGGCTTCCCGCCAAAGAAATTAAAAAAAAATACATCACACAGCCAAATTAGAATTCAGGCCACCAATCTGTAAGATCTGTTCTAGAATTCTTCCTAGGCAGCAGAATCTACTCCTGCTGCTACCCACCAAAGAGACCCCCCCCAGCTAAGACTTCCTTCTTGAGCTCCAGAAGCTCATGGACAACTGTCTGCTGAACCATCTCTACTTAAGTGCCTCACGCGCAACTCAAACTCAGCATCTCCTGACACCGAGTCTGCTCCGGACTTGCTCCTCCCAGCACTCCCTCTCTTAACAGAAGTGAAGTGAAAGTGTTAGTCGCTCAGTCAGTCCAACTCTTTGCGAACTCAAAGACTGTAGCCTGCCAGACTCCATGGAATTCTCCAGGCAAGGATACTGGAGTGGGTAGATATTCCCTTCTCCAGGGGAATCTTCCTGACCCAGGGATCAAACTCAGGTCTCCAGCATTGCAGGCAAACTCTTTACCATCTTAGGCACTAGGGAAGCCCCTCTCAACAGAGGACACCCTGAAATGGCTCAGTTCTGAAAGCTAAGGATCATTCTCGAGTCCTCCCTCTCCCTAGACTCCCTCATCCACTCACCATTCTGGTCCTTTCTCCCTCCTAAGTATCAATCTGTTCACCTCTCTGCATCCTTTTCACTGCCACCATCACACCTCCTAGACTCTAAACCATTTCCCTGTGACCTCGTCCGTCTTCCGATCTATTCTACATGACTACCCTACATTTGGGAGTTAGAGTCATTCTTTTAAAACGTAAATCTCTCCTGGTTCAACCCCTTCAATGCCTTTCCATTGTCCTTGGGATCAAGTCCCAAATCCCCGTGAATGCCTCATCTCAAATTACCTTCTTCATTCCCTTGCTGCACTTCTGTCCCCTGTGCCTAAAACATTCTGCCTCCTTCAACACGCAAGTATATACCCTCATACACCTTCCCCACTCCCATTAATTCTTTATGACACTGAAAGAGGTGAAGACTCTCCACCATAGCTCCCAGCTGTTCCCCTTTTGTAATATTCATCAAAATGTGCCCTTCCTTGTCAAATGACTGTCTTGCCCATTAATTTTTGTCTTTCATAGCATCCCTACAATCTATTAGGAGACACTACCGTACTACTGTCTGGAGAAGGAAATGGAAACCCACTCCAGTATTCTTGCCTGGAGAATTCCATGGACAGAGGAGCCTGGCAAGCTACAGTCCATGGGGTCGCAGAGAGTTGGACATGACTGAGCGACTTCACACGCATGTACTGTACCACTATATCCCCTACACCCCCTCTCCCTCACACACACTAGAGACCCAAAAGGTGTTTGCTAAACAAATTAATAAGATCTTTGAAGTGAGGCACCATATCTTCACCTCCCCCTACCTCACCCCCACCCCCACTTTTCACTCCACCCCAACATCTCCCCACTGGGCACTCAAGCACTGACAAATGAATGAATGAACAAAGGAACAGCCTCTTTCCAGGCCTACCTGCCTCCACTTTCTTCCTTCTCTTTACCATCATCACTGAACTGATCCTCCTAGCATTCTCTTCTCAAAAATTATCCACTGCTTCCTGATAAGGCTGAACCCCTAAAACTAGAGTGGAAAATTCTCCATAATCTAATCTATCCCACCAACTAAACAAATAGGATTTAGCTCCAACTCTGAAGGATCCAACTCTGATTAAAAGGAGAAAGGCTTGAAGCCCAGCATGGACTCAGGAAGGAAAGAGTACCTAGGTTGATTAGCAATGTCTGTTCCATCCATAAGCATGACTGCCATGGGCTGGTAATGGAAAATCAGTATATCTGCCATCAGGTTATCGATAATCTACTGAACAGGATAGATTCTCTTCCATCTGAGATCTTCGGACCCTTGGAGTTTTGGACATATGCTCAGGGAATCAAAGAGTTCTCTACGAAAAGAACTTCAGCTTTGTGATTTCATTATGAAAGTTATTCCTAAAAATGTAAAGAAGCAAAAATTACTAGGCAAATTCAGAGTTAACATTTGCCTATGTGTTTATGAACACAGCAGAACCAAGTAGCATTCATTACTTTACTTGCAATTGGTAGACAGTAGAAAAGAACAGAGGCAGAATTAACATGTAAATAATGGGCCTGTACAAGGTGAAGGACAAAATGACATCATAATTTTATAGTAATTAGAACAGAGAAAAGTGGTAGCTGAATTGAATTATCATATAGGGCACAGTTGGTCAGGCTTGCTAAACTCCAGATAATCTGAACTATAGGCTTTAACATGAGATTCACACTGAGAGACTCGATTCAGTTCAGCAAAACAGCATTTATCACATTAACTTAATTCCATTTGAACTCACTGCATTTGTAACTTTGAATTTATTGGTACCTATGTTTTAGCTAGTGGTTATATCACAGTTAAAGCAAAGAATTTTACATACAAGTTTACGTTTGAACATATGTAAGTAACATAATCAGACTCATTTCAGTGAACACACAACTTGTGAAAATTAACTGCCTTTGAAAGAGTCTGTACATTACTCACGGCCTCGTTTGTCTGAGACACTCTAAATCGGATTCACGAATTGGGTGAGAAAGCAGATCAACTCTAGATATACATACAGAATGCATGTATCTGTACACATAAAATTTATGTATTTAAACAACACAGGCCCCAGCATTAATTCTCAACCTTCACCCTGTCATGTTTCTCAATGTGATGAGCTTGACATGCTCATCCCCAGACACAACCAAGGACACAAATGGACACCAGGCAGGTCATAAATGAGTGAAGCCAGCCAGGGCACAAGGGGAAAAAAAATTCTTGAAATCCTCAGTCTTTTTTATCTGCATATATTTCTTCATGATGATAGAAAAGTAAGCATAAGAAATATTTCTGTTTCTCCTTAATTTCGCTTAAAAAAACCCAAACCATCAAAAATATGATAAATGGCAAGTGACACCTAGGCTCAGCAGTGGGGGATCAGGAGGGGGCATCATAACAGGGTGTGGTGTGAACTGTGGCCAACCAGAGAAGGCGTGGGCAGCCACCACCCAGCTCCAGCCAGCGGCTGTCACATGGGAATCAGGAGTGTTATCAGGTCTCCCAATTTTAAGTGTAAAGAAATGTCGGTTTTACACTTAAAATCTCTCAACTTTGATTTCTACGAAAACCCTCCCAATTCTGGCAACAGATATCCAAACACTGCTGGCCAGAAACGGACGCGCCTGCAGCTCGGCGAGCCAGGGACCACCAGTCTGCGACTCGGCTCTCCTCCGAGTTGCCCCCCACCCCGCCCCCGCGCCCGCATACCCTCCCCCATCCTGCTGATGGTCCTCCAAGGTCAGCACTCAGGCTCCTCAAGGCCTGCCCCCGCTCACGCTGACCCTCCCTCCCCGCGGCCCTGCGCGGGCACTCCTGTCGGTTCTCCATCCTCCACTGCCTCCCTCGACAGTTACCTAACCTCGCCGGGTGTTGGTCGCGCGGCCCGCGCCTTACTCGGTCCCCCTGGACCCTCCTCGGGTCACCCGCAACGCTGTGCACCTTTCCAGTTCGCATGATACACCGGGGCCGAATTTCGTAAACCAGACGGATACAGCACGTCCACTGAGAGAGAGGAGCGAAGCCCCATACTCGATAAGGAGTCACCGCTTGATACCCAGACGGACCCCAAAGCAGGCCGGGGCCGGCCCCGGATGCACGGAGCTCTCCCGAGGGAGCGGGTGGGAGCCCCGGGCCCGCCCCGCCGGGCAGTCCCGGAGGGCTCGCGGGCGGTGGATGTTCGAAGCAGCGAGAAGCCGCACCTCCCGCCTCCAAGCTGTTTGTGATTTCCTCCCGGGGCTTCTCGGTCACCCTCCCGCTTAGGCCTCCCTCACCCGGCGGCCCGCCTTCCCAGGATCGGCCCCTTCCCATCTCCCCGCACAGCCGGCCCCCGCGACCCTCCCACCTCCGCGGCGACCGCAGACGGTCAACGGGTGTCGGGAGGCGGGCCCGCGCCGAGGCCGCGCGGAGGGCGCCGGCCCCGCTCCCGGACTCCTCCCGGCCCGCTCCCGGGCCCCCCGCCCGGCCCCGCCGGCGCCTCGGCCCCGCGACCTTTTTCCCCGCCGCCGCCGCCGTGGCCGCCCCCGCCCGCGCGACCCGGGCCCTCACCCGCGACAGGGTGAGGTCGGTCATGAGCTGCTCGAAGGCCCGCGTCTCCTCGGCCTGCCGCTGCGTGTGCAGCGCGATCTTCTCACTGAACTTCCGCGGGTTGGCGCTGCCGGAGCCCGGCGAGGCGGCCATGGCGCGGGCCCGGCGCCGGCAGGAGGCGGGAGACGGCGGGCGCGGGCCCTGCCTCGGCCCACCCGTCCGTCCGCAGGCCAGCCCCGGCCGCCGCCCGAAGCCCGTCCTCCGGCGCGACCCGGCAGAGGAGCCGCCGCGGCCCCACCGCCAGCGAGCGGCCGGGAGCGCGCCGAGGTCCGCCCCCGCGCGCCCGGCCCCGCCCTCGGCGCGGCCCGCCCGCCGCCCGGCCCGACCCTGCCCCGCGCCCGCCGCCGGAGGGCTTTCCCCGGCGTCCCGCGCCCGGCTCGCGCGGCGGAGCGGGCCCGACGTGAGGGAGCAGCTAGGGTACCATTTTACTGAAGCGCTCCCTGATAGGGCTCGCCTGGCCTTCGGATTGACTTTAGTTTTTCAAAGAGTTTGAACACCTTGCTCGCCCTCCCCAGTCACGCTGACTTCCTTCAGGGGGGCGAAAACGGGCGAACTACGCTTGAGCAATCCTCTCCCTCGGTTCCCACCCTGTGGGGCCTAACAGCTGCCCGACGTCCTCCGCCTCCCAGCCCGCTTCCTCCCTCGATCTGTGTCGCTGACGGTCCGCTCGGGCCCACCCAAGAAAACAGTTACTAAATCTGGGTCTCAGTTTCTAAAACCACGTCCCGAGTTTGCACGAACTTGAGACACCACCACCACCACCCCCCCCCCCCCCCCCGCCGCCCAGGGGTCCACCTCTTCGCCCCTCAGCCCTGGCCCCTTTTCCAGGCTCTTTATGAGCATCCGTGGCCTCTTAGTTTGTCAGCCTCATTGGTTTTCTCCCTCTCCTGCAGCCCCCGAAGTTCCTCTGCGTAGAGATGCTGATGTGTGTAAAGATGTCCTGGACGCCTCTGAGAGTGTGTCTCTGCCTTTCGTAAGCTAGTAACTATCAGGGACACGCAGAAGATTGAAGAAAAGGATGTTAGCGCCACCCACGCCCTCCCCATATCAAGGTTAAATGTATCAAAACAGTTTGTTTCATTTACTTGGTATTTATTAAAGAAATAGAAAATCAGGCAGAACTAAAACCTCACCCTTATTCTTTCTCCCTCCTCCCTAGAGGTGGTCACTGGGCTCAAGTTGGTACGTGGCATTCACAGTAATATTTTTACACTTTTATTGCATATGACATATGGATCCACCAACTGCATATGAAATACCAAATTTTATTGTTTAAATTTTACAGAAAACTACATCATGCGAAATAAACTTTGGCAGCTTTTTTTCATTTACCATTGCTTTTGAAATTCGTTTGTGTTGATTCATTTGTTTTAATTCCTGTGTAGTATTTCACTATACTTTTCATGTGTCTCATGGATTGTTTTTTTTAGAAAATTTAATGAGAATATATCTCTATTAGCTAGAGGTTAGTTTGTTTCACTCATTATAATTGGATTTATTTCTTCTGTCTTATTTTGTACTGTTTATCATGCTTTTTCTTTATATTTTCTGCTTTCTTGTTACATTGTCTGGTTTCAGTTTCAAAGAACAGAATTCATTCTAGGTAAAGTACAGAAGGATTTACTATAGGGTATAAAATGGCTTAAGGACTTGTGTGGAGGGCTGAGGAAGCAGACTCTGGGTTGAAAGGTTCAGAAGTGACCTGGAAACACATGTTGCAGAACCAGGCCAACAAAAGAGCCACTGCTTCTTCTAAAGTCTGGAAGCCACCTACTGAATTGGAGGACTGTCACTACACTGGCCACCTCCTGGACCCTGAAGCCACCATAGAAAAATACAACAGTACTCACCAACAGAAACAGCACATACAAAGGCTCAGCTTCACTTCCACCTCACAAATCAAATAAGAAACAAAATTGGACTGGAAGTGCCAAAACTGCATCCAGAATCCTAGCTGCAATAACATCTAGGAAATGTAGTTATAGCCTTTCAGCTTCTGAAATATAGGGAAGTGCAGTAGGACACTGGAATGGATGTTGAGCTAAATCCTATTTTCATCCACCAATTCACCAATGCAGGGATCTATCATATCTGGGTTCTGTTGCACTAAATGACTGTTGTTGTTGTTGTTGTTGTTGTTGTTTTATTTTTATTTTATTTTTTTCTCTTTTTTTTTTTTAGTGGTTTTTGTCATACATTGACATGAATCAGCCATGGATTTACATGTATTCCCCATCCTGATCCCCCCTCCCACCTCCCTCTCCACCCGATTCCTCTGGGTCTTCCTAGTGCACCAGGCCCAAGCACTTGTCTCATGCATCCAGCCTGGGCTGGCGATCTGTTTCACCCTAGATAATATACATGTTTTGATGCTGTTCTCTCGAAACATCCCACCCTCGCCTTCTCCCACAGAGTCCAAAAGTCTGTTCTGTACATCTGTGTCTCTTTTTCTGTTTTGCATATAGGGTTATCGTTACCATCTTTCTAAATTCCATGTATATGTGTTAGTATACTGTATCGGTCTTTATCTTTCTGGCTTACTTCACTCTGTATAATGGGCTTGAGTTTCATCCATCTCATTAGAACTGATTCAAATGAATTCTTTTTAATGGCTGAGTAATATTCCATGGTGTATATGTACCACAGCTTTCTTATCCATTCATCTGCTGATGGGCATCTAGGTTGCTTGCATGTCCTGGCTATTATAAACAGTGCTGCGATGAACATTGGGGTGCACGTGTCTCTTTCAGATCTGGTTTCCTCAGTGTGTATGCCCAGAAGTGGGATTGCTGGGTCATATGGCAGTTCTATTTCCAGTTTTTTAAGAAATCTCCACACTGTTCTCCATAGCGGCTGTACTAGTTTGCATTCCCACCAACAGTGTAAGAGGGTTCCCTTTTCTCCACACCCTCTCCAGCATTTATTGCTTGTAGGCTTTTGGATAGCAGCCATCCTGACTGGCGTATAATGGTACCTCATTGTGGTTTTGATTTGCATTTCTCTGATAATGAGTGATGTTGAGCATCTTTTCATGTGTTTGTTAGCCATCTGTATGTCTTCTTTGGAGAAATGTCTGTTCAGTTCTTTGGCCCATTTTTTGATTGGGTCATTTATTTTTCTGGAATTGAGCTGCAGGAGTTGCTTATATATTTTTGAGATTAATCCTTTGTCTGTTACTTCGTTTGCTATTATTTTCTCCCAATCTGAGGGCTGTCTTTTCACCTTGCTTATAGTTTCCTTTGTTGTGCAAAAGCTTTTAAGTTTCATTAGGTCCCATTTGTTTATTTTTGCTTTTATTTCCAATATTCTGGGAGGTGGGTCATAGAGGATCCTGCTGTGATTTATGTCGGAGAGTGTTTTGCCTATGTTCTCCTCTAGGAGTTTTATAGTTTCTGGTCTTACATTTAGATCTTTAATCCATTTTGAGTTTATTTTTGTGTATGGTGTTAGAAAGTGTTCTAGTTTCATTCTTTTACAAGTGGTTGACCAGTTTTCCCAGCACCACTTGTTAAAGAGGTTGTCTTTTTTCCATTGTATATTCTTGCCTCCTTTGTCAAAGATAAGGTGTCCATAGGTGTGTGGATTTACCTCTGGGCTTTCTATTCTGTTTCATTGATCTATATTTCTGTCCTTGTGCCAGTACCATACTGTCTTGATGACTGTGGCTTTGTAGTAGAATCTGAAGTCAGGCAGGTTGATTCCTCCAGTTCCATTCTTCTTTCTCAAGATTACTTTGGCTATTCAAGGTTTTTTGTATTTCCATACAAATTGTGAAATTATTCATTCTAGTTCTGTGAAAAATACCATTGGTAGCTTGATAGGGATTGCATTGAATCTATAGATTGCTTTGGGTAGTATAGCCATTTTGACAATATTGATGCTTCCAATCCATGAACACGGTGTTTCTCCATCTGTTTGTGTCCTCTTTGATTTCTTTCATCAGTGTTTTATAGTTTTCTATGTATAGGGCTTTTGTTTCTTTAGGTAGATATACTCCTAAGTATTTTATTCTTTTTGTGGCAATGGTGAATGGTATTGTTTCCTTAATTTCTCTTTCTGTTTTCTCATTGTTAGTGTATAGGAATGCAAGGGATTCCTGTGTGTTAATTTTATATCCTGCAATTTTACTATATTCATTGATTAGCTCTAGTAATTTTCTGGTAGGGTTTTTAGGGTTTTCTGTGTAGAGGATCATGTCATCTGCAAACAGCGAGAGTTTCACTTCTTCTTTTCCTATCTGTATTCCTTTTTCTTCTTTTTCTGCTCTGATTGCTGTGGCCAACACTTCCAGAACTATGTTGAATAGTAGTGGTGAGAGTGGGCACCCTTGTCTTGTTCCTGATTTCAGGGGAAATGCTTTCAATTTTTCACCATTGAGGGTAATGCTTGCTGTGGGCTTATCATATATAGCTTTCATTATGTTGAGGTATGTTCCTTCTATTCCTGCTTTCTGGAGAGTTTTAATCATAAATGGATGTTGAATTTTGTCAAAGGCTTTTTCTGCATCTATTGAGATAATCATATGATTTTTATCTTTCAATTTGTTAATGTGGTGTATCACATTGATTGATTTGTGGATATTAAAGAATCCTTGCATTCCTGGGATAAAGCCCACTTGGTCATGGTGTATGATTTTTTTAATATGTTGTTGGATTCTGTTTGCTAGAATTTTGTTAAGGATTTTTGCATCTATGTTCATCAGTGATATTGGCCTGTAGTTTTCTTTTTTTGTGGCATCTTTGTCTGGTTTTGGAATTAGGGTGATGATGGCCTCATAGAATGAGTTTGGAAGTTTACCTTCTTCTGCAATTTTCTGGAAGAGTTTGAGTAAGATAGGTGTTAGCTCTTCTCTAAATTTTTGGTAGAATTCAGCTGTGAAGCCATCTGGTCCTGGGCTTTTGTTTCCTGGAAGATTTCTGATTACAGTTTTGATTTCCTTGCTTGTGATGGGTCTGTTAAGATCTTCTATTTCTTTCTGGTTCAGTTTTGGAAAGTTATACTTTTCTAAGAATTTGTCCATTTCTTCCAAGTTGTCCGTTTTATTGGCATAGAGCTGCTGGCAGTAGTCTCTTATGATCCTTTGTATTTCAGTG